CATGTTAAATTTTTGTTATGCTTGTTGTGAATAGGTACTTCCAAAGCTTTCATCTCAGACGTTGTATGCTCTGCTGACATCCGATGAATTATGGGTTCCTAGCGAAGAGAGACGGTAAAGGATATGATAATCTCTGCATATGATTTGCTGTTAACAACTTTTAGTTCTTATCTGTTTATTTATTTTCTTTTCTGATATTTTTTTTGGTCTTAATCAAAAGGTTTGAACTTGCATTGTTTACGTTCCTTGCTAAAGGGGCCCATTGCAAGGAGGAACCTTCTGAACCAGTTTGTTCCAGTTCTGAGATCGAAAATTCCAAGACACGGGAAAATCGTTCAATGGATTCCACTAATGTAGGGTTGGAATCTGAGCTAGGACATTTAAGTTTGAAAGATGGCCTAGAGGTCCATAAAGGTTCTCATAATCTTCTTGTTCAGCTTCCCGACTGTGTGGTTGACTTCCAAACAGGGGCTTGCAGCTCTAAACAGAAGATGCAACAAGCTACATACTCACAGTCAAATTTAGAAGCACCATTTTTGTGCAACGCAGAAGGGTCATCATCTTTGAATAATTCATTCTCCGGGATGAATGGAATTTTAAGCTCATGTTCTTATATTAATTTACCAGTTACTGTTGGAGTAAGTGGACTTGGTGCAAGTGGGATTGCTATGGAAGGGCCATCAGAAGAAGGCTGCTATCAACTGGATAACAATACTTGGCTTACTAGGGACCAAACAAGCCATTGTGCCTCTGTGAACTCTTCTACCAATGGACTCCCTTCAAATGATTGGGGAAGATGCGGCATGCCTGCTGTTTCATGGGGAGGCAGGGTCGTAGGTAGAAGGCAGCTTAAAAGTTACGCGAAAGGCAACTTAGGAGCAAGGGGAGAGGATTATGATGTGTTTGATAATTTATTTGAAGGGGGTTCACTTTTGTACTGCAATATGACTTTTGAAGCTCTTCTCAATATGAGAAAACAACTTGAGGAGTTCGGTTTCCCTTGCAAAGCTGTAAACGATGGTCTTTGGCTGCAGGTTCGACGTTTAAATATTACCTTTTCTTTTATGTATCTCTGATTCTGCTAAAATTTCTTTGAGGAGTTTAGTCAGTTAACTGGTACTTCATATGTAGTGAGTTATAAATTTTCCTGCTTGAATTGAGCTTTCAGCTTCCCTCCACAAGTTGGGATGTCAATAGTTATATATACACTTAGTTTAATTAGCAGATCTGTAAGGTTTATTGCCTGTGATTCTGTTGGACATTAGCTTAGCTTCTTTTAATTGTAAATTTTTTTTTTTGCAGATGCTTTTAAGGCAAAGGGTACAAGAGATTGTTGCTGATACATGCAAAAGTTGCTGCCTTACAAGTATAGCATGTGCATGCAGGCAGCCGTTTGCATTTGCACGCGGAGTCAGTGCGTCGGGATATTATATCAATGAGCATGATCAGAATAGTTCTCCTGGAAGTGTGGGCAACATATATGTTGCAGAATCTTCTCAAGGTGAAGGAAATGGCCCTTTTAAACCTGTCCGAGTACATGTTAGGGGGCCAATTGAAGGGCTTGCTGGAATTGGACGTGGAGCCACTTTTGTGCCAGCGAGTGATTGGCCTCCAACACGCTTTGTCTTCTCCCGTGTAACTATTGGCATGGGCAACAGAAATTGTCATCAGTCGCTTGCTAATGATGATTCAGAGGCTAGAGCCGAGCACAGTGGGGACTTGTCAGGAGATGGATTGACAGCATTGGTTGGTTTGAGCCAAGGAGGAAGCGGCGGTATGAATGCTCAGGGAGAACCAACAGAGAGAGGATATGAGATGGAACTGCAAAGCAGAATATCTGGAACCTCCATGGCAGGTCCAAGTGCCACTGGTATTCCTGTTCAGATGCTTCAAGCTCCAGATCATGCCCTTGGAATTGAGTGGGAGAATGAAAACAGTACAATTGCTTTAGATATGAAAACGCCTTTAAGTCACTTCCCTCCTTTTCGCTTTGGGTAGGTTCTCAGCTTCTCTTGCTTATAAAATAAAGGATTTTGGACCAGTTTGATACTCAAAGTTACAATCAATCCTTGGTTTTCAGCGTACAATTTGAGGACGTTCATAGACTTAGTGATGGCCAAGTCAAGCATTCACCTGAGTTTTTCTATGCTGGTTCTCTATGGAAGGTGCTAATACAAGCAGTTACTCTACTCAGTATTACTGGAATGTCTGTTTCTTAGTATCTTACAGACTTTATTTCCTTTACTTTATAGGTTAGTGCTCAGGCTTTTAACGATGAAGACCCTCAAGGACGCCGAACGCTAGGTAACTGTTTGCTATAAGATGATCGACCATCGTCCACCTGAAAATCTCCCTTTTTCCTGGTATTGATGTGTTTAATACTTCCCTTGACTGAACTTGTTCCTATATTATTTCAGGATTATTTCTTCACAGGCGGAAGGCGGAAATATCCGATTCTCTGAGAAAGGTCAGCCTCAATCCCAGTTATCTAATCTGGAAATGGTGCAACATGAGTAATAAAGATCTCTTATTCTTTAAACATTTACCACTTAGTTGGCTGATGCTTTGATTCCTGAATTAAAATTAGAGAATTGACGTTGTTTGTAACATCTCAAGCCCACTGCCAGCCGATATTGTCCTCTTTAGGCTTTCCCTTCCCAGTTTCCCATCAAGGTTTTTAAAACGCATATGCTAAGGAGAGATTTTTACACCCTTATAGAAAATGTTTCATTTTCTTCCCCAACCGATGTGAGATCTCACAATCCACCCCCTTTAGGGTCCAACGTTCTCGCTGGCACTTGTTCCCTACTCCAATCGATGTGAGATCCCCCAATTCACCCCCTTCGGGCCTAGCGTCCTTGCTAGCACACTGTCTCGTGTCCTCCCCCTTCGAGGCTCAGTCTCCTTGCTGGCACATCATCCGATGTCTGGCTCCAATACATTTGTAACAACCCAAACCCACCGCTAGCAAATATTGTCCTCTTTGGGCTTTTCCTTTTGGGCTTCCCTTCAAGGTTTTTAAAACGCATATGTTAGGGAGAGGTTTCCACACTCTTATAAAGAATGCTTCATTATTCTCCCCAACCGATGAAGGATCTCACATTGATGCAATTATCTAAAGCAAATAGTCTACCAACATTCTTAATTGACAATTACATTTTTCAGGTCCATATGTTTGTGGATTCTCGTGAAAAAGTCACCGCGCGATATCAGGTATGTTGGGCAATAAACCACCTACTATGGGATACAACTCTAGTTCCCAACAGTTTGCACAAGTTTATACTGGAACACTTGGTTTAACACATTCTCACAATTTTCCTCAATCATTCAGTTGATATGTCCATCAAAGAGGGAGGTGATGGTGTTTGGCAACTTCAAACAAGCAGGAACTCTTCTACCAAAAGCTCCCAAGGGATGGGGTTGGCGGACGGCTCTCCTATTCAACGAGCTTGCCGATTTTCTTCAACATGGAGCCCTGAGGGTTGCTGCTGTTGTGCAGCTAGTTTGAGCAAAGGTATGCATACATTTGGTCTTACAATGGTGCCTCTAAAGTTTAGCCTGTCAATAACACACATCTTTGAGAAGAATGCACTTTAGGATTTGGTCTGAAGGATTGAGAAATGGGAACGTTTAATCTCTGAAGCTTGATAAACGGTTCAAATTGGTCTATGACATTAGCTTCTTGTTAGTGAAACTAATGAAAAAGTGACATGGCATCCTCATTTTTGCATTACGTGGCATCCTAGTTGGCTTTTCTGAGCTTGTAAGGAAGAACAACATAGACACGTCATCATTTACTTCTTCAGTCATATCTTCATTAGTTTCACTAACGAAAAAGTCATTTCAGAGACCAATTTGAATCATTCTTTTAAACTTCAAGAGCTTTTTTTTTTTTTTTTTTCTTTTTTTCTCAAGAGACCAACCAAATTTCCCACATCTTTACTGTGTATTACTGTAGCCTGATCAAGAACAACAAGGATTGTAATCCCAGATATATATAGCATTGAATCTATTCATGATTCTTTCTTTTGGCTTTGATAATCTGTAGCCTGGATCTCTTTCTTCTTTTCAGATCATCTCTTAATCCTTATTGTTCTAGTTCTTCAAGAACATTAGGGATATGAATCCTGTCCTTTAACTAGTAATTACAGTCATTGTTTTCCCATCGTATTCCATACACGATTATTGTTTTCAAATTTTATCGGGCTAAGGTTCACGAGTCAGATAGTTGTCCTGTGAGATTAGTCGAATTGTGCATAAACTAGTTTATGGTTAATGGCGGGTTGTTATAGCTGATATCAGAATTTAATGAAATACCGCATAGTTCCGACTAATCCAATGAAACACCACATAGTTCGTTTGTTTAAGTTAATTTTATGAATTCACTGTCATTAATCGAAGATTAGTAATTATTGTACACATTAATGATGGTTCATATGTAATTCAATTATTTGTATAAACTATAGACCTCCAAGAAAATATAAAATTTTAAAAAATGGCTATGATAATTATGTTGGGTCTTAATGTAAAGACCCGACTTTTTAAACGTTATAAAACTTGGTACCAACTATGATAATTATGCTTCGAATAGAACTAAGCTTATCTCAACACAATACCTCACGAAAACATGCATGATTGCAAGACAAGGTAATTGACACTCGAATAGGAGTTAAATGGTCTCTCGAAAGTATGTTGAATATGTATTTGTATAGATAACTTTTCATGTATTATATCGACCTTACGCTCGTCAAGAAATTTAGGCTAAGGTCACTCGAAAAGTCTCAAGAAAAAAAAGGCGTCGGAAGCTCAAACTTATCCAAAGTTTGAGAATGAGAAAAACTTTGGCAACAGGAATGATCAACAAAACTGCAAAGTTTTTAGTTAATATAATATTTTTTTTTTCTGAAGTGTTAAAAATTAATTGAAAATAAAATATCAAATAAATTCAATAAAAATATAAACATTCACTAAATATTTTAATAAATGATTTTAATAATCGGATCCGTCCAGGTGTGGCGAATGATGTGGCCATCCTTCAGAATCTCAACTGATTTCTCCACGAATGATTCACTATTCTTGGAATGCAATTTCATTCTCAATCTCATGTGGCCTTCATAATTTGTAAGACAGTTTTCTATAGATCAAGAGAACGTTTCTGTAAGTTTCGATCGATCAGTTTTCTCACGGTGTGGAGATTTCTCAACTTGTTCGACAATGGCTGATAAGGTGCTGGTGATTGGCGTCGATGAGACTGAGCACAGCTTCTACGCCTTGAGGTGGATGCTCCAACATTTCTTTGGCCCTAACGATATTCCTCACAATCTTGTTATTGTCCACGCTAAACCACCTCCTTCTAGCGTTCTTGCAATTTCCGGTCCAGGTATACCGATTCTCCTGATCTCTATTTTGGTTTTAAAGAGTCTGTTGTTCCTTTTGGCTCCGATGAAATGAGAACTTGAAGAATAAGTTAGAAATGATGTTGATTCATGAACGATGGTATCAAACACAGTGAAAACTGAATTTATTGATCTTGATTTTGAGTATCGAGATGTGATGAGATAATGAAATTATTTCGAGTTTTGCTGTGACGAGAGAATGAAATTTATTGATCTTCTTGTTGTTCCATTTGGCTCCGATGAAATGAAATTGAAGAATAAGTTAGAATTGATGTTGATTCATGAACGATGGTATCAAACACAGTGAAAACTGAATTTATTGATCTTCTTGTTTCTGAGTACCGAAACGTGACGAGAGAATGAAATTATTTTGAGTTTATTGATCTTCTTGTTGTTCCATTTGGCTCCGATGCAATGAACTTGAAGAATAAGTGAGAATTGATGTGATTCATGAACGATGGTATCAAACACAGTCAAAACTGAACTCATTGATGTTCTTGAGTTTGAGTATCGAGATGTGACGAGAGAATGAAATTATTTTGGGTTTTGCTGTGTACAGTTGAAGCGAATCGAGAGTTCTGTATTGAATGGAAATGATCCATTTGGGGATGGTATTGAACAGAAATCTTATTCTACCTTGTTGTGTTGTTCTGTAAATGATTTATAACGTTTTCCCAGAACGGTTATCGTGTTTGTAACAAAATGTTGAAATACAGGCGCCGAGAATGTTTTGCCCTTGCTAGATGAAGATTTGAAGAAAATTGGTAACAGGACTGTCCAAAGAGCCAAGGAAATATGCATTGAACACAAGGTAACTTCCAATTTCATTGAAAAAATTTATGATTACACCACATTAATCTCCAGCTAGAATTGGCTACCTAAAAAGCCGTTCCCCAAATAGGGACCTGAATTGCATTGCTCTTAATCTTCTCTTCTGATTGATGATTGAATTACTTGTTTACAAAACTTCATTCCCCATTGATTAAAAACTTCATTCTCCATTGATTAAAACATATATTTTGATGGATGGATCGATGATAAGACTTGAATCTTCACCCTACATTCTTCAATTACTTTTAGATTAAACTTTAAGTTTGGTCTTTGAACTAAACATATATTTTGATTGATGGATCAAGTGGTAAGACTTGAATCTTCACCCTACATTTTTCAATTACTTTTAGATTAAACTTTAAGTTTGGTCTTTGAACTAAACATATAATTTGATCGGTGGATCAAGTGGTAAGACTGAATCTTCACCCTACATTCTTCAATTACTTTTAGATTAAATTATAAGTTCGGTCTTTGAACTAAACATGCATTTTGATTGATGGATCAAGTGGCAAGACTTTCACCCTACCTTCTTCAATTACTTTTAGATTAAATTATAGGTTCCATTTTTGAATTAAACATATATTTTGATTGGTGGATCAAGTGGTAAGACTTTTAGATCTTCCCCTATGTTCTTCAATTACTTTTAGATTAAATTATAATAAGTTAGGTGTTTGAACTTTGTTTAATTACTCTTATATGAAGTTGAAATAGGAGCACCATCTATTGTGCAAAATCTGTAGCATACCCATTTAGCATGTTCATGGAGATAATATTCTGCCTTTGTAGGTCCAAAACGTGACGACTGAAGTTGTGGAGGGTGATGCCAGGAATGTAATGTGTGATGCAGTAGAAAAGCACCATGCGTCCCTTTTGGTTGTTGGAAGTCATAACTATGGAGTAGTGAAAGGGTAAGACTCCCCTTACTATAAGAATTGAAATATCCATCCTAGTAAGAAAGAACCAAGTGATCGATTCAAATTGTTTTTCTTGAACAGGATGAACCTGGGCAGTGTAAGTGCCTACTGTGCTCACCATGCCCATTGCTCTGTTATGATTGTGAAGAGGCCACCCAAACCCATGGAGTGAACCAAATCTATTTTTGTAGAGAATAAAAAGGTCACTGAACGGGTCAGGATTTCTTGTCTTAGGCTCCGTTGATTCCATCTTGTTCCTGTCTTTAAAAATTAGGTTTCTTTTTTTTGGTGAAAATTGTATTTGTCTTGATTGACAATTTTTATTTTTATCAAGTATCATGGAATAATTTATCTTGAATAACAAGCTAAAGTTTTATCTTAGTTCGAGTGGATTAATATAATAATTTCATGGAGGAGACTAACATATTTGCGTTCATCAGACATTCAATAATGTTGTTAATGATACACCAAGTAAAGGTACCTAAAAGTACTGATATAGGTGACAAAAAGTATCTATCAATTATTATGGCCCCAATCACTTTTTACATTTGAAACTTGCGAATTAAGATCTGATTAGAACAAATATTAACTAAAACATCATATTAACTAAAACATCACAACCCCAAAATAATCTCACAATAAAAGAGGCTTACTTGAAGATAACTAAAGCAGAATATTATAAAACTAGAGATTGACTAAGGTTTATAAATAGAGTCTAACGTTTGCACTCACCAGAACATACACTCCCAGTAAATTAGGTCAAAACAAGGAAACCCCAGAGAACAAACTAAAACAAAAACAGCCCAAATCTTCCAAATTATCCAAATTCAAACGTCAAGAGAAAAAGGCAAATATAGTTGAAACAAAGAGTGCAACATGAATCATTCTGCTTAAATCTTTTGTTCTGTTCTCTCAGCACTTGACTTCCTTCAAAGCTGGCGCAAGGTATAAAAATGTTGGGTCAGTGGCTCCTTCCCTGTAGTATGCAAACACGATACAGGAATCGTCATGCATGCTCTCTCCCACGAAGCTGCAAAAGAACATATAATACAATTAGGAATCATTCTAATGATAAGAAAACTTAAAACTTTGAGAACATTGTAAATTCTAAAAACACTTGGTTCTGTAAGTGCTGCTTTTAGGAGAAGCACTAAAAGCTCGAACACCAAAAGTCAAGTTTCATATCACATATCGATTCAAAAAAGGGTGTTCGAGAGCAATGTTAAAATACAAAGAACCAAACTGATCACAAATTGTAAGATTTGGTTTGCTATGTTGAGTGAGTTCAAATATTTCTATTTCTAAAGATGTAATGCCAATAAAAGATAGCCTAAACAAAGGGAAGTACTTACAACTGGAAGTCCTTGAGCTTTGGAAGCAGAAACTTAGTTGCTCCTTCAATGTTCTTCTTAAATGCCTCCTGTTTCTCTCCTTCCAGCTTAGGTGTCAGCAATTTGATAAACTTCTTAATATATGCAATGAATTGCTTCTTGTCCATGGTAGGTTGCTCCTGGAATCCCAAAGTGGAAAGAAAAATAGATTTAGGTCAAGTTTGGGAAAGATTTAAAATCACTCCCAAGTATGCCCTTAAATTAAAAACTTGCAATAATCCTTGAATGTCTTAACCGGAAGGTATGCCTACCTGAAGCCTGAAGGTGTCGACAATGTCAACCACCTTCACAGCTTGATCATCAACCCCTTCATCCTCACCATCACCTTCAGCAGAAGGATTTGCACCAATGTCCACATCGACCGCTCCTTGAACGACCCACTGCAGCATAATGATTCAAGTACTAAAGTATTGTGCTGAATACTCATTCAATTTGGCTAACACTTAGTTTCAGTAATTATATACTCGGTAGCATTAAGACACGACATTTTCTTTCCATGAAAAAGTGAAAAAGCATACAATAAACAAAATCTACTGACCTTTCCCTCAACTTCCCAGATCATTCCATTCTCGAGTTCCTTGTATGGGAACGAATCCGAGAGAAGCTCGTCACCTGAAATCAAAATTAAAAACAATTGCTTTGTCACCAATGAAGGGAACGAATCCATGTACACCAAACTAGAAAAAATATTACTAACAATAGCATCAAATCATCTAAAGCAGACAGCCGAAGCTCTCAACTCTAATCTCAGATTCTACGACCCAAAAACAAAACTCTTCAACAATAAACCAAAATCATAACATACTGATTCAAAGTACTGTAAATATTCATTCAAATTCGAAAGCTGATACAAGAGAGCCACAATCGCTCTCCCACAAAAGCTAACCAAAAGATACCGCATATTTTGTTACCCTATCTCATAAATCAGATCACTACGAGCTAAAGCAAAATCGATAGAAATCACAAATATGTTCCAGATCTGAAAGTTAACCAAAGAATCCATAGAAATCAGAGACATAAAAAGCTGCGACAATGGAAAATCGAAGCCCTATGACCTAAACAAACCACCATAACATAAATGGAAAACCTCCCTGACATGAATAAAAAATAATTATATAACCAAAACAAACCTCCATAAATCAAAAACAACAAAGAAATTTACCAGTGAGAAGGTCTTGATAAACCAACATGATTGCCCAATTTACTCTCGGAGCTCCTGAAAAAAGAATTGTTCTGGGGCGAGAGAGGGGCGAGAGAATACGGCAAAGAGCGCAAGAGAATTAGAATCAGGAGAGTGTAACGAATTTATAGAATAGGGTTTTCTTGAAAAGGTATAATTCAAGTTTATCATATTCCTATTTTACCCTTCAATATTTTTTTTAGAAAATATTATTTGTTAGGTTTATTTTAACTAAAAATGTAAAATATAAAATAATTTTGTTTTTTATCTTAAAATAATATAATAAATTTTAAAATTTTAAAACATAATTGTAAATAATATGATAATTCTTAAACTTAAATTTAATTTTTTTTAGTTTTCCTACAAAATTATTTACAACGTAACAAGCTAAAAGAATTTTATCATATTTATATTTTTTAATTTATTTAAAAATACATTTTATATCATACCTCTAAGTTTATTAATAAAAAAAAACATAAACTAATTATTATATCAATTAAAATTAAAAAATGATCATTTCGTTTACAAATTTCTGAAATATCCATTTAACTCTTAAAATTAACAACTAATTAAAAATCGTAATTTGTTTATAATTAATTTGAATGATACATTTTTTAAATTTATTTTATTTTATTTCTTTTATAATATGATAATAAGGATAATAATTTTTTTTTAATTTTTAAAATATTAATTAAACTTTTTGTTAAATTTTATTTATAAATGTCAAGAAGATCTAGATCTTTTATTTATATATATATATATATATATATATATATATATATATATTACTAATTAATTATGTAGAGATCAAAATTCTCATCTGCAAACCACCCACGTTCATATGAACATGAACATATAAAAATGTCTCCTTTTATAGAGGGTTAAATACATAATCATTCTCTAAATTAGCAGACGTGGGCATGTGAGATTCTGCAGTCACATGATTTTCTGACCGACGTCGGCAGCCATCACCGCCGGCTAACAGCAAAGCTTTTAAGAAACATCCAGATCTCATCTCACTCTACAAAGCTGATATAAGATTCCGATCTGTTTTCTTTAAAAAATTGAGAAATCTACGGAGGAAAATGTTCATAAACGAAGAATTTAAGGCCACCACAGCGTAGCTGCCGACGGCGGCTTATCTTACCTACCACCCACCACAGTCCAACAAAAAAATTGATGGAGCAACTTTTTCGGGGGATACAAAATGACTAAAATGCCCTCAATGACAACGACACTGAACCAATAAAAGCAAGAAGCCATGAAGGGCAATTTCGAAATTTCAATATTTCATCCCACCAGTCACAGAGCCCTGTCTCTCAGGGGCATTCATGTAAATTATAGTGTTCATCAAACTTTACACAGTACACAGAAACATCTCAGGCAAAACGAAATTTAAATGATAATGAAACCCTAGAAAATACAGATCTAAGTACTGAGTTCAATCGCCGGAATCATCATCGCCACCGAAGATCGAAATCCGATTGTAGAGGAGGAAGAGAATGAGGACGAGGAAGAGAGCGACGCCGACGGGGGAACCAGTGACTCGGTGGATGGAGTCCGGCTCGCCGGAGGAGAAGATGGCGGAGACGAAGGAGCCGCGATCGGAGGAGAGGAACTGGATGGCGAGAAGGAGGAGGATGGGGAGGAGGAGGAGGCCGAAGGGGCTGAGGAGGTCGGAAATGGCTTCGGTAAGAGCCTCCCCGTCGCCGAGGAGGAAGGGGCCCACGATGACGATGGCGACGACCACCGCCAGTAAAACACCGTGGGGAGCTCCGCCTTGCCGTTCTTCAATCATTCTGGTTTCACTCTCAATCCGATTTTTTCTTTCTTTGTTTGAAATATTGAAAAGCAGAGAGAATTTGAAGCGTATGAGTTTAATTTTGCTTTAATACCATTACTGACCTGGACAGATAAAAAATAAAAAAATAAAAAATAATAAAAAGGGTTTTTATCCGGTGTGGTCAACACCATTCCTTTTCAAATGTTTAAATATTATATGTTGTCCAAATTTTCATAATTATTTAAATTTGAATTTTTCATGTTTTTTTTTTATTGTATTCATATAATTTGTAAGTTTTTTTTTTTAATTTAATTGAGTTGAATTTTTAATTAAAAACAACCTTTTTTTTAAAATAATTAAAAAAATAAAGTTTATGAACTAATATTTAAAACTTATTTTAAAAGAAGTTTTCTAAAAAGAATAAATGATTTTTTATAATAACAATAAAGGAATAAAGTATATTCGAGATACGAAATTAAATTTTTTAATTTTACTCTTTGAATGTTTCGTTCTCATCTCCACTCCAACCGATGTGAGATTTCACAATCTACCTACTTAGAGATTCAGCGTACTACACACACCAATTGGTATGTGATTTTGGTACCGTTTGTAACTACTCAAGCCCACCGATATTGTTTATTTTGATTTGTTAAAACATGTCTGTTAGAGAGAAGTTTCCACACCCTTATAAGAATTGTCTTTATGAGAGAGACAACAGACCCACACCTGACCCACAATCCTGCTCTTTAAGTAGATAACTTATAATTATTTAAGCCTTAAAACTTTAGTTTATAATAATTTTAATCTTAATATAAGAACTAAATTATTATATACGAAAGTATTTATATAGTTTAGGATCACATAATATCACACCAAACTTTATATTATATCAGAGCACATAAATGTGGGCTTAAGGATTAGTAAATATAATTACTTAAAATCCTCAAATAATCCCACTTTGAAACAGCTACACGAACACGAACACGAACACAGACACAAACACAGACACAGACAACGT